GTGAGAGAGAGAGAGAGAGAGAGAGAGAGAGAGAGAGAGAGAGAGAGAGAGAGAGGATATGACGATGAGAACAAAATTACTCGGGCTTTCGCCCGCGACGACGCGTCGGTCACAAGTTGTCTAACGACCTGCGAATTCGTCCTCAGCACGAGATCGAGACGCTCAACCAGCGGAAGTTCAAGGAGAACGCCAATTGGCTACAGATGCTAACGGGCCTGATCGAGGACCACCAGAACGTGAACGGGCCCGAAGCCGAGGCGGAGCTTGCCGAATGGATAAAGGAACGTGACCGGCTGCGCAACGAGATCAAACGCGTGTTCAATGAGCAATTCGGCTCGGTGTTCCGGACCTACCATAACCCTACTTACTTCTCCCGGCGGCTCTTCCGCTTCGCCGACATCTACATGAGCTCCATTACGAATCTCCTCTGCTACTCGTCCAGCCACACTTTCTACCCGCGCCGAGGCGTCATGCCTCACGAATACACCAGCTACTTCATGTAGAGGAACCCGGAGCTGCCCGTTGCCCAGCTCCAACCCGTCCCCAGGAAATATATTTCGTATTATGAGGGGGATCCACCGACAGCTCGCTCTCCCCTTCTTCGAGAAGTTTTCGGAATGGAAGTAGTGGACGCGGCGAGCACCGCGCTTCCCCGCTAACTCGATTATACTATCCTTTTCCTTTATCGATGGCTTTCGCTTTAGCGGACGATCCGTCGATTTTCCGATATTTTGACGCTGGTTTGCAATGTTTTTGTCCCAATCAGTGAAACTAGGCGCAGTCGATAAATCCCGAGGTATTTCGCTATTCTCGCTAACATTGTTTTATTCTTAAATTCCATCGCCTCTTGATCTTTTCAACATCAACGCTAAAATGTGTTGAAATATATCGGAAATGCTTGGACAAAGGTGCAATTATTGGCAATTCTCAATTGTGTCGCTTTTCTTATCAAAAACATTGCAAGTCCAGGTTTACAAAATGTTACACAAATAACGTGGAATACATGTAGATACAAACCTTACTGGCTTTCAATTAATTAACATTTTGTATTTATTTAAAAGTTTTTTTTTGTTTATTTTTTTTTTGTTTTTTTTTTGTTTTTGTTTTTGTTTTTGTTTTTGTTTTGTTTTGTTCCGTTTTGTTCATATCCCTCAGAAATTCTTGTAAATATTAATTTGATTATAATGAACATTCAATTGCCCGTGTTTCATACACGTTGCTCCAAAAATATTTGCAAATATTTAATAATTATTTATGAAATCAATTCGTGAAATATGTATTTGAGATTTTATCCCGATGTATTAAGCGTTAAGTGGCAACAGGAATTCTAGCAACACAAACTAGTCTACAATTATTGCCAAAAAATGTTCAACCGTAGTTTACGTAGAAAGTATTTTGTAGTTTCGTTTTTAAATTTTTAACCCCAAGCGCAAACTTGTTCCTGCGACTTCATTAATGCCACACGAAGATAATAAGGAATTGTTGTAAAATAGCCTTCGAACATTCGGCGAAAGTTAATGATTTTTATGAATTTTCGGCTGCTGTAATAGGGCTACTTTTGCTAAACTAAACTAAAACAGCGCGCCAAGTAACAAAGTACCGACGGATTAAAAAAAAAAAAAAAAAAAAAAAAAAAAAAAGCTGCTAGCGCTGCTTTTCCTTCGCGAGCGCGAATTATGAGAACCGAAGGTCCTTCTTTCGTCGAGCGCTTAACAATGATAAGGCGAAATGAAAGAAAAATCAGATGTAAGCATTGAGTAATCGGTGGTCGCGCGTTATTAGTGAGCGATTGACTGGCGATGAGAGAAGGTAAGAAGAATGCGAGAGGCCGTTTCCCCTACCGCGGAGAATCCATAATTTTTTCATCAGACTAAGTGAAGACGATTAGCGATTCGCGATTCGCGATAATTACGATGCGGAACGCTAGTCGATTGTCACGGATTAGCCGTGTAATGTGCCTCCGGGGCGCGTCGCTCACCAAGAAAAACGGGAGACCGAGGAAACATTTTACCGCCAAGTATTTTCATGCGACGAAGAGGAAAAGCACAAATGCGCCATCGCATCGTCGGACGCGTCACGCAATTAAATAGAGTGTGCCTGTGCCACCAGATTACAACATCGCGTCGACAAACGCGAGCGAAAATCGAATTCCCTGTTGGTGAATCGGGATATAAACGATAATTCTCAACCTATGCTGCGTCTCGTTAACACTTTCGTTATGCTTCTCTTTTCCTCCTCTTGTTAATTCTCTCGTAACGTAATTTATACTTTACTTTTTTTTTACTTATTTATTGGCGAGATTCGTTTCGCGACACTTCTGGGATAATGAAAATCAAATATATTTCCGATGATAATGTATAAAAGCATAAAATGTATCGAAGAACTATCAAAATGATTAATGATAAAACGTTCACGCTTAAGCTCGTAAATGCCTTATAGTCAGATATAATACTGTTTCAACTAGATAGAATATTTTCAAATCAAAGTTATATACTTTCAACTCTATTATACATACACATATATATAGATAGATATATATATATATATATATTATTATTATTATTACTATTATTATTATTGAACGATAAAGCGATATTTTAAATACATTTTGTTTGATTGGAAGGAAATTATATAAATATTATATATATATATATATATATATAATTATATGATTGGGAAGGTAATATGTATAAAATTATAAAAATATATGAATTGAACAAACATGATTAAATGATTAATTTAGGTTTTTTTTATGAATTTTCTTAGATATAATACATTAAGCGTTGAAATCATTTTGTCACCAAATTGGAAATAAGGTGAATAATTAAATTTTATAAGAGCGTGAATACGGATTATATAGAATAGTAAAAGTAAATAAGTGCGCTTAGTGATATATTACGAAAAATTTGCCAAGAGATTATACCGATGATAATTACCTTACCAAATAAACGACAGTTCTCTTGTAAAAAAGTATATTTTATAAATAGTAATATCATATCGCAGCTGTTTTATCCCACTGTTAAAATTAATTTCATCAATCAGTCAGCTAATATGCTTAAAGAATTATTATTACGTAAGCATTTGTAATGAGAATGTGCACAAATGTATATTATGTCGATGATGACTAATAAAAGTGACTATCGATCAAAAAATTCATTGGCTGTAACTTCATTCGAAATATGGTGTCTTTTGAAAATATATTATCAAGTCAAATTTATAAACAATACAATTAAAACAACAAATAGAACAGTCGATAATGGAGCCTCTAGTAATATTTTATCATTCTTATACTTGAAAATATTATGTTGTTTAATTTATTAAATATCATAGTCAGAAAATAATGGCGAAGCCTCTAAATTATCGATCAATGGCAATATACCAGATGAAATAAGGAGGCAAATTGGCCTGGAAAATCTCCAACCATTATTAAACAGTTCGAATTCCAAGCCAAAGAAGAACAATGCAATTCCTTCTAGTCAAAAAGCATTCATCGATAAGATAACACCGAAATATTATTTCGACATATGCGTATGAATCAATCATTTCCTCAACTATTACAACTTTCAGTTTAATTTGTATATTATAGTTTGTTTTTTTTTTCATTCGTTTATATTTTACAATACTCACATTTGTCGATTGAAAGAATTTATTTCTTTTTAATATAACATATATTTTATATACATACACATATATACGTTACTTTCCAAAATAATTAATTGCCTTTACTTATTCTTTTAAACATATTAATAGGAATATTAGTAGTAATAGTTATATACTATACATATATACAAGTACTTTATACTTATACATTTTCTACATTTTTTTTTCCTCGAGTACTATATAATTTAGGCAGTTAAGTGAAGATAATTTTTAAAAAAAACCTAACCTAAAATTAACGCTAATATGCACAAATCTTTATACATCATATTTCCTTTAAAAAAAAAAAAAAAAAAAAAAAAAACTTTCTAATATGATTTAAATATAATAAATATATAATATATACATTATAATATGAAGAAAAACTCATTTGAGAGAGTCATTATGTTTATAATAAAGAAAATTTAAATACCATCAACATTTAAAAAAAAATATTTCCTTTTAAACAAAAAACATATTATAATGTAATTTTATGACAATACTAAATCTAGTTTGTAGCTACATAATTTACTAATATCGTTTATTTAACAATGTTTTTCTTCTATTTTTTTCTTAATTGCAATAAATAATCTTTATTAGGTGTAATAATTATTTATTTCAAATATAACAATCCTATAGTTTTACATATATTCAATCTGTATTAGTAATTTATGACTAATTAGATCATAACTGCAAGCAAAAATTAAACTAACACATTTAAGTCTCTATTTACTTTGCTATGCTATAATGTTTTTGCTTCAATTCAGACAATTTTTTTGTTAAAATTCACATATAACAACAGACTTATAATCTGATTATCGGTTATCTATTAAAAAAAAATGAATTTCACGTAGCCTTAACAGGACTATTATTTATCTAAGATCCTTTTCTAAAAGAAGCAATTTAATTAAATTCTATTTCGTAAAAACTTAAGAAATTTCCTTATAAGAAGCATAACTAAGTTAACTAATAAGTAATGTAACGAATTATCACCGAGTCGATGGAAAATGTGCATCTTTGATTTTTCAAGAATATAACCATTCGTTGCTCCGATCTATTTCTCATATATATTCATTGATTCCTAACAAACAATCCCACATAGAATATTTCAAATAATTTCAATCGCTCCTTGCACCCACCGAACAACAATGCTATACAAATATCAACAATTGAATACTAATTAAAGCAGAAATTAATATCCATAATTTATTAATACTTCTACATATCTCCATTTAATAGGGGCACAATGTCGCCCCATGCGCATTTGTCATAATTAATCTCATTCACGAGAAACCGTCCATGAATGGCGCTCGCGCAAAAGCAACTGGACACCTCGGATACGGATTCAGAGAAGCGCTCGACGATGACCTCGCGGATAAACACGATGGTAGAGAACTCGGTCGTCAGCGATGAAAATTTGTCGGACAATCTCTCGGGCAATATTGCCGTTCATAACATGTCCGTGAAGTTCCCCTGTGAGAAGTGTATCGGCGAGCTCGAAGCCAAAGCCTTCATTGCGATCCTGCAGGAGGCCGTGACGAACCTCGAGATTCTTCGAGGCACCTTGAGAAAGCCCAAGAGCAACGACTCGCAGACCACCAAGAGCGGCCCGCCGAGCCGCATTATCATGAGAAAGAAAAATAGCTGCTCGGAGAAGAACGAGATGGAGATGTTTTTCGGGAAGGATGTGGGACTCGAGCCCGTGGTGCTCAGCATCCAAGATAAGCTGCTAAGGGACAGGTACCCTGGTGCACTTTCATATATTCTTGTATAATTTTCATTACCATATCCCCACGTTCCATAGCTCTCCTTCATTATCTTGCCTTCGAGAGTTTTTACAAATGTCCTTTTTACATTGCAAACATTCATTTTCAACGATTCAAAGCAAATTTACGAGCTGCTCGTCGTGGACTGTGAGCACCAAATCTTACACTACTGTTTATTAAAATTTTAAATTCTTTTTCCCCGCTGCATTTATTGCTAATAATGCAAACACACGTAATATTTATTTATCATTACAAATAAAAGTATTTGATTTGTTTGGGCTTTAAAGGGAGAATATCGACGAGTAGATAAATTATTGAAGCAAATTCGAATAATACATGATTGTTAATTTTCTTTTATATTAAAATAAAAAAAAAAAGCTAATGAATCGAAGAATGTGAATAATCCATCACTCCTCCGTATTATCATCTCATTCGGTTACAAACTGAACTTTTAACTTACAAAGTTTGTAAATGAAAAACTTTTCATAATAAAAAAAAAAAAAAGATAAAAAAGAAAGTATATAAAGTAACTGAAAAAGCATGGTACGCTTATGTAATTTTATACTGTATAATTATACCGTATATGTGCATACACTAATATATTACACACAATACAAATAATATAGAAATTCACCAAACACATTGCCAAATTTATTAATATTACTTATGAGTACGCGTGTACATAAACTGAATTACAGCCTATTATTTTCATGGATTCCATGTAAAAATAATTTTATAAGTTTAATATTTTTACATATTATATAAATATTTACATATGTAACCTTTGGCGTTCTCTTCACTATGAAAATATAATTATTGATTAATACTTAAACAACATCTTAGATATTGATATGATAAGCATTTACGCTGTAACTGTATTACACAGCTTATAATTTTCAATAGTGAATTACATAATAATAAATTTGTCATCAATACGAGTATTTTAACATATCCGATCATATCTAATAAATATTATCACTTAAAATATTATGTAATTTAATATATATATATATATATATATATAAGCGAATGAATATTTATATATAACAAAAATGTTAATTTGAAAAATTAATAAATTAATCTGTTAAGAAGGAAATAGTTACGATATTGAACGGTATGAAGTAAAAATATTAGATTCATATTTGAAACAGACTTTTTGTCAATACTATAGTGAATGCATAAAATTCTTATTCTATTATCATTGGATTATTTATTTTTAATTATAAAACATAACTTCACTTCATATATAAGAAATCATAGCCAATAATTATTATATTTCAAAATTATTAAACAGATAATCGACAAAATTTAATTCTTTTATATTGAAGTATTGATTATATTTAGTTTTTGGTCTCTTTTGTTAATATAAATAATTCATAACTAACATAAATGAAATATTCATTGTTTAAAAAAATAAAATCTAAAAGCAAATACACGTTTATGAATATTAATTATTTTCTTTTCTTAAAAAAAATGTATTTATTCCTTAGGGACTTGGCTTATAATTTTTTTGATAATGTCGCTTACGAGCTTGAACGCAATAATAGTTGTGATTTTCTTATAAACGAAGTCGGGACGATTATTAAATTGAAAGAAAAAGAGAGTCAGCTTAAGGTAAATTTGAAGATTTGGTCGGATTTAGTTTCAAAATTACGATCTTCACAAATTAATCTCAAAGAAGATTTCGAAATAAATAAAAAGAAGTATTTGAAAGAAATAAGTGAATTAGCTCAAAATATTGACAACTCGTATTGCGCCAACATCGAAAAATTAGGTAAATGTCATTTATGTACTACAGCACTTATTTTATCATATGTTAAATAATTATTATTATTTACGTAAAGATTACATCATAAAATGGGAAACGTCAAAGTTAGAACAGCAAAATATGCGATTATCGCTGCAGGAAGAAGAGGTAAGAAATGAGATCAAGAAATTGGAAAAGGCAAGAGCCATTGATGCAAAAGTTTCCGATGAATTGCGCATTTACGGACAATCGGTAATAAATGCATACGAGAACGATATCGTAGATTGGACAAATCGATACAATAATGAAATGGAAAGACGCCAAATAGAAATCAATGCAGTTGAGGTACTTTTACTTTAATTACAATTTCATTTCAATTCAGTTAATAATCATTCATCGCTGCAATCGAATTATTTAATATAACTATTTTGCAAAAAATAGAGAGAAAAAAATATATATATATATGTGATTGATGTTTAAGATTCATTTTTATACGATTATTATTTAAATTGTAAAAATAATTTTCGTGTTGACTTTTCATTTCAAACTTGTGCAAATAAACTTAGCAAAATAATGAATCATAAAAGGCTACAGTTACCACAGGTAAAAATATCTCTACAAATTTTATAAAATCTTATCAAACTGTTGTAACAAAATCGGTAACAAAATCACACATTAAATTGGTTTATCATTTTTATTCATATAAAAGTAATCAAATTTTTAGAATTATAAAATAATAAAAATATATTATTATACATCCTTACTGTATGACTCTTTCCTTCTTATAGGACAATATTAAAGAAATAAATACATTTCTCTTAGAATCACGCAAATTATACGACGAAAGGCAGATAGTCGTAGATAAAGATTTAGAGGAAAAGAATAGAGAGAATGAAAAAATAGAATACTGGAAAACTATAAACGACTGGGCAACAGTGATCCAAGCTGTTTGGAGAGGATATATGGTGAGACATAAATTGGGTCCTTTCGCCAAGTTAGGGTATAAAAAGCCAAAGAAGTCAAAAAGGTCAAAAAGGTCAAAGTCAAAAAAAAATAAATTAAAAAAATCGAAAAATGAAAAATAAACTAATGTTATTTCGTATGAAAGTATATGAATTATGGTATATACACTTGTAAATCCAAAAACAATATAATACATATATTTAACAATAAGTCACTAGTCGCTTAATTTTCGTATAAATAATTCACATGTATATATATATATATATATATATATATATATATATGTATATATATATATATATACATATATTCTTAAACAATTGTTAGAACGTTTTGATTACAAGTAATATTTATTAAGGTTTGCCAACAAAGTATTCTTAAAAACAGTCACACCATAAACGTTGGATTATATATCTCATCCAATTGTTTCTAATACCAATCAAACTCTGTAGATCTCTCTCCATTCTTTATTTCATCAAAATCTTTAAATAATAAAGCTCTTGTAAACCATATTAACAAAAGTCGTCTCCAGCATCTAATTACTCGTGGATACAATACTTCGAAGATTAAAAAGGCTGTGAATCAAGATTTGCTTATTATAATCTCATTTGCCTCGGACGTTAGTAATTGAATAAGTTTATAGATATGCTCAGCATTATCAACGTAATTGTTTTAAAATATTACTTGGAGTACTTATGTCTTATATATCTTAATTCTATATTTCAATTAACAAAAATGATATTGTCCTCGACCGTTTCGAAGCCATCATAGATCTTAGAGTAGCATAGAAAAATATACATAAATGTAGAAGTGTGGTAATACAGTACATGCAATACATTGAGAATCTTAACTCCATACGTGATTGTTTTCCTGGGCCCAATTTTCAGTAAAGGACTCTCATCGGATCAGGATATTTGAAGTAATGAACTTACGAGCGTCGATTTTCTGTGGTAGAATAAATTTTTGTCCAAGTATCCAACAACTTACGCTAGCAAAATGCTGCTTAATTAGATCTGTTATTTAACAAATCTGGCAATTACTTGAAAGAATTATGTCAAATGCCCATTCTAATAGTATGAAAGTAATGACTTTTGTAATGAAATCAATTGTTAATAATGCGATACACTTGACACATTTCCTTAAACACGTCCTAAACAATTTTTTGCTCGAGCAATAGTAGAATAATTTAATGCTAGCACTTTTAATATTCTTAACGTATGATCTTTAACAGGTCGGCCTTTCACTTTCTTTTCTTTCTTTTGTCTTTTTTTTTTCTTTTTTTTTTTTTTTTTTTTTTTTTTTTTTATATATATATATATATATAAATAAAGATATCAGCTAGATACGACAATGGATGATTTCAAAGTACCAACTATGTTTATGTACATTATGCTATATGCAGTTGGAATTCAAACGAATTATTATAGCTCGTTTTGCAGTATCTTTTCAGCATTTAGTCAATCGATCTATTAACAGTAAAAATATGCTGAATTCAACAGACGGCCTGGAAAAGTACATTGATTACAATGCCTTTATCGAATCCCATCTCATTCTTTTAACATTTAGTTATTAACTTTCCGAGTTAATGCATACAGTCAGACAACGAGTTCTTAATGATTCGTCTGTAGAGTCAGAATGCGAATTCGCCGAGTCGTCAAGTTCCCTTGAAATAGCCGAGCTGTTCCATTGATTTATACAATTATTTTAGAGGTCGTGATAACGGTCGGTCAGTTACGATTTGTTCGGAAGACGACGATCTCGGACTTCCTCTAGAAGCAATAAACCACAGAAAGATGGTCAACAGTGATTTTAACGTTGAATAATAATTGACGTCTGCCCGAACCAAGTCAGTGCCAATAAGTCAAAAAGTCAAAATAGAATACCTTATGAAGCAGGCATTGCACTAACGCTCGATGTATTTCTCTATGCATCCCTTGGAAAGAAGTACCTTCGTCCCATTTTCTTTATGATTTTAGCACAATTGCTCGATCGAGTAGTACGTAGCGGGCAGAACTTCCGTTGCATTCAATGGATTAAACATTATATATCATAGTTGATGTATCGAAGGTATTATCGAGAAACTCCATGGCAATATAATTGATTGAAAGCTGCTTCCTCTCTTCTTTATTCCTCTCATTCGCCTTGGTGTCTTTTTCATTACAATTCTTCTCTCGCTCGGATATATTGAATGCAAAGATGTAGGACGGATGCTCGCTTATAATGTCTGTACTTGGCAATCGAGACCATCAATGGCACACGCATAAGTTACAGACTAAGGTAAACGGCTCTCATCGGCAATACAATTACTGCATGTACACGACACGCACGCTGCACTTGATAAGTCCATTATTTATTATTTCATTTATAGAAAATCAACACCGAATATGGGTAAAAGGACTGATACGAATGTTAGATTGAAAGCAATTTACAAACAAAAGAAACAAAAATTAGTTTACCCATACCCGACGTCCAAGATTCATAGTTTCACAATGATGTAAATTATACAGATACCTACGTCTTAAATATTCAATCGCTTAATTCACGTGGAAGTATGTATAATTTTTTCGGCATTTTTTTTTTTTTTTTTTTCATTACGTATTGGGCCGAAATTAATAACAAACGGAGAGAAACAAGAATAAAAAAAAAAAATCGCACCACTTATTTTGTTGTTTGGAACGTGAAAAGACACGGGCTGTAATCTGGCTGTAATTTATTTTTCAGTCATTTTAAGAATAACGTTACTTTTTCTTCGAGCTCCTTGTATTTTTAAGCAGCAAAACGTGCATTGATCGACCTAATTAACAATACAACTCTGGTGATTTTAAAAAATATTTTTCGAGTTTGCTCTTAAAATTTATATCCATACCCTCAAATTCTCATACGTATCATCTGTGGACTAAAAATATATTCAGAATGCTAGTTGTTGGTAAAAACCCTGTTTTATTATTTAAAAAGCAATTGGTCAATTTTCATTGATCGGTAAATATAACAACACACCTGTTACCACCATGTCATAATTTAATATACAAAACTAATTTTCTGCCGTTTTTTTTTTTCAATTTTGATATATAATAATCATATACACATCGTCATAATTTTATACTATAGGATAAAGGAAGTAGCAGTTTCTAAATATAAAGATTTAATAAATTTTATTGTTCTTATAAAGAAAATATCGAATTGTGTCAAACCTCAGTATGATTTCATACACTAAATTTAAAACCCTTTATAATGTGATTTCTGTTAACATTTTCTGAAAAGCTGTATTATGTAAATGTATAAAGTTGCAATGAAATTTGCATATTTCTAATAACGATGTTAACTATTAAAATATTATGTCAATTTCAACAATTAAAAATGTTAAAATTATACGAAATCGCAGATTTGACGAGCTATTTAATAAACCTAACTAGATAAAACCTTTTTCTACATTACTATGCGGCTAAACAAAAATTAAGGAAATATTTCTCTTGCACAAATTATAAAAAGTAAAGTTTCTTACATCCGCACATTTTTTTACTGTTCTGATTTTATGATTATAATCACATAGTATATTAAATACAAATATAAATAAATATTCTGAAGCGGTATTTTGCAAATCGATAATGAACAGGAACTTTCAATCAGAACTCAAGATTACCAAGATATCAAGATCACTTTTTAAATAAAAATATCGATGTCGATGAAAACTTTTACAAAGCAATTTTTCACTCCTAGCAGGAGCAGCTCCTTTTGAATTTTCGTAATATTGAAAATGTATATGAAATAATGTTACTGTAGTTTGAAAAAAATAAAATCACCAGAGTTTTTAATTAAAGTGGAACTTGAATTGGAAGGGCGAACCCTGGAAGTGGTGAAACTCGTGGAAGGGATTAAAGCCGTGGCCCTGCTTGCCGGACTCAGGATCAAGCGGATCCTCGCCACGATCAAACTTGGCACGCTTCTCATCGTCCGTAAGAACTTCCTTCGCAGCCGCTATGTCAATAAACATTTTCTGAGCACGTTTTTTCTCGTCCTCATCTGGGAAATTGTCAGGATGCCACTTTTGCGCAGCTTTCCTGTACGCCTTGATGATTTGTTGCTTCTTTGCTGTTCGCGGAACATTTAGAATTTTGTAATAGTCTCGTGCCTCTGATACCTTCTGTCGCTGCTGAGCTTTTTGCAAGCCCTGCTTTGCGCGCTGAAATTGTGCATCGATCTCCAATGCATCCTTATAGTCCTGTATAGCTAGAAATTAAAGGATAATCTATCATTAATATTTGTCACGACTTTATGTCGGAAATTTTAAATTAAAATTTTTTTCAAATAATTTCACAAGTATCTCACAAGCTGTAGAATATTAACTACGCAATATTACCCTCAGTATATAAAAAAATTTGCCAGCATTACATTCATATAAAATAAAATATATACTAACAATTTACACCAATTGATTATTATTTTTATAGTTACTAATATGAAAATAACTAGGTATAAATCAATATATAAAAGGCATTTATATTATTAACAACATCATTTGCTCATATCAATTCGACCATATTTTGTCGATCAATTCATTGTTACTATTCACATCTATATATTTTATGATAATTTTATGATTTATAAAGTAAAAATAGCTATAATAATCTTTCGATTGTAAAAATAAACTCATAGAAACGCGCAGGCGCGCCCATACACATACAATTCAAGATTGTTTACATTAAGGTGTAAATGATTTTAATTGTTTTCACATTTACAAATTTGTCTCTGGCTCTTTTAAAATAAACAATCAACTTGGAAAAAACTTTTTATTTTTATGTTGTCTCAATGATCATGTATATTGTATTTCCAAAGTTGTTAATAAGTCTATTAAATATATGTACAGAAAAAAAAAATTCAAAATTATAATTATGAATTTTAATAAAAAAAAATTAGGTAATGTGACATTTATGCAAATATTATTATTTCATTGTAAATGACTTTGAACAAAGAGGATTCAAAAACTTTTTGAAAGTAATTGAATTGAAAAATAATAATAAGGAGACTACAAATAAGAAATGTAGTCAGAATTTATGGATTATCGCATAATAAGTAAACAAATTATTTTCATTATAAATTTCTAAACCAGTTGAAATTGAATAAAAGTTCTTTATACAATACTAAACAAAATGCATTAGATTAAAAATTACTATTTCTTTTCTTTTTTTTTCTTTTACATTAGAAAATCCATCTATTATTATTAGCATTAAATATTAATTGCAACCTATTGTATCTGATAATTTGGCATTTGGATTACTCGAGAAAGACACTTTTCAATGGATAATCCAACTTCATTAACACTCCAGGTCTGCATAAATAAATTTTGGATAAAGTAAGGATAAATAGTAAATGCTTACCATCGTCGAACATATCACTTGCCAAATATGCCTCAGCGCTATCGCATAAAGTTTCAGGATCTCGTTGAATCTCTAATACTGCCTGACAATTTTTTATAGCCAATTCCTGATCTGAACTGGCAGTATGACATTTACAAAGTAACCGTAATGCAGTTATCCTCACATTATCTATAGACAATTCTTGCTTAAGTATACGATTTGATTTTTCAATACAAGTTTGTAAGTCATTTGATTCCACAGCTGCTTCCGCATCTTCCATAAATTTTGCTAATTTCTTAACTTTCTTGTAAAATGGAAAACATTTGCTATGTTCCGGATCTAATTTTAAACATTCTCTAATTTCCCTGCAGAGAAAATGTAATTTTTGTTAATCAATGAATTGTATCGGACTATTCGAATTAAAATTATAAAAATGCATCGATACTAACTTTAAAGAATCCTGAACTTGTCCAAGTTGATATAATATATTTGCTAATTCATAATACCCTTCTGTATTATCCGCAGTAAGCTTTGTTGTAGATCTGATATCCGACACTGCCCCAGCATAGTCTTTTGTTTGTATTCGGCATTTAGCCCTTAATTTTCTAAGATCTGCCGACCACGAACATATCTCAATGACTTGCGTTAAGAGTGATATTGTCAATTCGTAGTCGCCGCTTCTATACAATTCTTTCGCAGAATTTATTTGCTCTCTAGCTAATCTTAGTCTATGAATACCGTTAGAAGCATCCTCGTGATCAGGGTATACAACAAGCTGAGGATTATAAAATTTATTAGCACTAATATTCCTATTATATAATATATGGCTATTCTGGAAATATATGGCCGTTCCGTAAACTCAACACCTCAAGCTCGACATTTTATTTCTACCTACTGTCAAATTTATACTTTTCATAATTTAAGCTTTTAATAATATAGTTTGTTACATACGAATAGTTAAAAACATTGCTGTTATAATAAATTTGTACATAAATTTACACTAAATTTTTCCAACGAATGACATTGAAAGAGACAAATCGGGTAACAAATAGCATTACGCTAACTCTATGGCATTTCATCCAAAGGAAACTAATCAGAACAGAATCAAAACACTATCCACATAGTTAAACAAAGGCGATAAAAATTACTCACGGCATTTGTAAAATCGTCTTCCGCGAGCTCTAGCTCTCCGTGCTTCAAGTGCACCTGGCCACGCTGAATCCTCGCGACAGTAAAATCTGGCTTCAGGTCCAAGACCCTATCGAAATCAGACAGCGCTTGCTTAGCCTTCCCCAAGGCCAAATAAACGGTTCCTCTCTTATAGTAGGTCAAGTAATTGTTAGGATCACCCTCTAGAAACAAATGAAACGTCCACTCGTTATCGCGTATACAAGCTCGACAAATGCCCGGAGAAAGAGTGACATACCAACGGCCTCGTGAAAGGACGACAAGGCATCCTGATATCGACCGGACGACAAGAAATCCGTGCCTAGTTCCAGCAGCTTATCCAATCCCTTGGACGTACTGGCGGTCACTGAAATTGAGGTTAAAACGACACGGAGTGTAAATAGATCGAGCGAGCCTCTCCCGCACGCTCCAACCACTCGTCTGTAAGGATCCGCTGACGCTCGCCTCCCTGTCACCCGACCGACTACTCACCATCGTGACTAAAGTTTAGCAGGACGAGCAGCAGTCCGCAACGATACATGACGACGAGGCCCCGTGGCAGTCTTCCCTCTTCCTCGATCGCTCGATAGCCAAGCTCTCTCGCGTCACTTAAAATCACCAGCCCCTAAGAGACGGGCTCGACCTCGTAGCGCCTCCAATCGAGTCCAACACAGGGAAACCACGAGACATGCACGATAACAACGGAGCCGTCCTCGATCGTGTGCTCCGCCACTGCCGTCGTCGTCCTCGCCAAACTCATCCGCGGCCCGAGTGCGACGCGCCATCGCGTTCGTGGTCCCACGCTATTGGTCCAACGCATATCGCTAGACAACGAGTCGAGTCTAACCAGCTGGCGCCTACGTCGCCGAGCTTCTCCGGCCAACCCCGAGGTCCCCCTATTACCAATGCCCATTACGCGCCCGACAATCCCAATTATTCCATCTTACGCTATTTTCTGGCCGACGCTTCTTTTACGTCCCCGGCGGTCCGCACACTCCGCGGACATTGCACCGTCGAACTCCTCAACTCGATAATCGGGCGGGCGGGCGACGGGGAGAAAGCCGTCCATGGAACAAATGACATCGACGTTCACGAGTACCCGCCAAGGGACGTCTCGAACCTTTTTCAAATTACGCGCAGACGCACATTAATTTTGACGTCGATATAAGAGCGAGGCATGTGTGGGTGAACAGGGAACTCGCCCGCGAATATACGCGCACAACACACAGAGGAGGGAGGAATTTAAAAGGCGAGATGCAAGAAATTATCTAAGATTTATTCATAAATTCGGTGCTCCGTTCGCTAATACAATCGATGAAATTATCGGTTAAATCATAATCGTCTCGATTCTCTGCCGTATGGAAATATGCAATAATTGATCGTTGATGCTTTATCGTTTGAAAATCCAACAAACGCTTATCCAACCTCTATTTCTTTGCAAAGTAAACTTTAACATATGAAAGGATTTTATAAAAACAAAATCAAAAAACAAGCATTAGAATAAATAACACCAAACATAATAAATGGACTGGGATATAGCAATTAGGATTTTAGATAGCGAGATTATAAGAGAGTAAGAAGATTCATCGTTATAGGAACTCATGTCATATTGAATAAACGTAAAGTGATGAAATTTACTAGCCTTACCTTCTCAGTTATAACAAACAAATAATAAACTTTCAAGATGCTATGGGTTAAATTTCCATTGGAAAAGCAAGGTTATTCTACAGCCATTTACAAATACTTTACTTCGACTTTGTACATTCCGAGATATATATATATATATATATATATAATTAAGAAATAATCATTCGATAAGTGCCATTATTAATCAATATAATTATTATCAAAAAAAGAAAAAAAAAACAACAAACAAACAAACAAAAAAAGAAAAAAAGAAAAAAAGAAGAGTCTAATTTATGAGTGTATTTGAATTAATCGATGCCGATGGAAGCTGCAGAAAATTGTTTAAAATTTCAACAAAATCAATGATAATTTTAATGAATGTTTTAACTTTGCAACTTATTGGTTTTGTTTATACGATTGAGGATTTATAATTTGAAAAGAAATTATAAAGTATGCAAATATTTCTTGCATACATTTTTATCGAAAACTAATGACCAGGTAGTGTTTATATTTTATGCAATAAAAATATTTTAATATTGCACAGTTAAATGTTTATTTTTGTTGTTTTTATTTAGTTGAAAAGCATGTAAATGCTGTTGATTTGCGTCAGAATTGAGTGAACGAATATATTTAGTATATTACTTGATAATATATTTAGTTTAACATTGTATATTATAGATTTAAAAATTTAGATAAAATTAATATTATTTTTACATGCTATGCTTTACAAAACCAACCTTACTAATTTTTTTTTTTTTTTTTTTTTTTTTTTTTTTTTTTTTTTTTTTTTTTTATAAAATCGCACTCTACTTTGTAATGGAAAAATCATACTTTTAAATCTTATATTTACAAAAAAAAAAAAAAAAAAAAAAAAAAAAAAAGGAGACAGGGAAACAGTAGTGAGACAAATTCATAAAAAATATGCAAATTGTTTTTAACTAAATGATCGCTTCGAGCCTAAGAATTAAAACGGTTTTATATTGTAATTAGTGTTAGATAAAGATTTACTTTAGAAATGTAAGTGACAAGTAGAAATTGAATGGAAATATATCATTAAACGTGGTTTATTTCTCGTTATTTTTCAATTCCCCCAATCACTTGCTAATCATTATTTAATTTATCGAAAAATAATATTTTCAAGTTATAAATATAATTCATTGCGCGTGAGTGAATTTAAGCTGCAAAGCAAAACTCATTTTAAAATGAAAATTTAAATGCTATGATAAAAAATGGCATTTATTGGGTAAGTTTTTAACATTAAATTTTTTACGAAACTTAATGTTCTTATTGCGCGATGCTGGATATTTATTTGGAAACATCTGTAAAAGTTTATCATTAGACAGTCTTAATATAAATTTAAATGTCCATAAAGTGCTTCTATGACTATATATTATATTCACTTATATTTATAAATGTCAACATTGTTTGTCATAATTGTTGGCTAAGCGAATGAATATTTTTGGCATAGCGGAATTTGCCTTAATGTGCTTAATCGAAAATAATTTATATTTAATGAAAATGCTCGATAAATTCTTATCTTCGTTCTATAATCCATAAGGATATATGTTGTTGTTAAGATTCTATTCTAATGGTTCTAAATTTGCTTGCAGAATTGTTTTTATAACCGATTGCACTCTACTTCGTCATGAAAAAAAAAAAAATAAAACTACATTTAAATATATATTCAATAAATTAGACGTTCGAGCGTTAGATTTTTAAAATATAACAACAATGATACAAGCATACTTTATAAATCGCCTTAAAAAATCGAAATAAATGTTTTCATACACCGTTTTAAGGGCAAATACTAATCATAAAAATTATAAAGAAAATTTTATTATTAATTGAATCGTTTGCTATAGAAATTTAATTTATAAGAATTTAAAAAAAAAAAAATATATATATATATATATATACTTTTATGAAATTATTTACAACTCACAATATATACCATAGATTATTATTATTTGTATTATTATCATCAAATTTTTATGTTATTTGCTTTTTAACTGGTGTCGTCGTGTACTTCAATAGATTTATTTATATTGTTGTTTGAATTTTTCCTACTTAGATGTGCGAAATAAATTATTATTTTTCATTATTGCTATTTGAAAGTTAACCATCTCAAAAGCATATTTGTAATATAATTATTTATAATATAATGAAAATATTTCATTACTATACGACAATTAGTCTTGCTTTATTTTTAATATCCATACATTATATAATAATTTCAAGCCCTAATTACGAGCGACGTGCTATCTGCATTTAATATTAATAACAAAAATGTTTCATTTGACGAACGAAAAAAAAAAAAAAAAAAAAAAAAAAAAAAAAAAAATGTTTTATAAGTAAACATACGATTGTGAAAAATTTTTTTATGAATAATTAATATTAATATGAAGAAAGGGCGAGTTAGCCGTCACATTTTTACAATTGTATAAATATCACAGATAGAAATGATCAAGACATCATTCCAGAAAATAAATATACATTGCAAAATATGATTAAAATATTTTGCATAATAATGACGAAAGATAATGAATGGAGATGAAGGGTAGAGGATTTAGGTTTCAATGGGCATAAAAAAAAAATTTACAATTTTGTTTCATGAAAGCCATAATCGGCATCATTTATCGAGATACCTCTCTTTATTTTCTTTCCAATACACGTGTACAGCGTACAGCGATTCGTAGCTTCATCTAATTTTTTTTTATCTTCTTTCCTTTTCGTATTCTTCACGTCTTGTCAACTAACGTAGGGTGTAAATATTTAATTACTAATAAAAGACCGACAGAATGGTACGTCACCGTTCCGCTTTGAAACGCACTTTTCCCTGCCCCCCTAAACGTCCCCAATAACCCTATGCTTTCCTTTCATGCGGGAACCGTTTGCATCTTTCTTTCCTCACAATGAACTTACTTTCTTTTTTTTTTTTTTTTAATTTTTTTTCTGTGTTTTTGTTTTGTTTTGTTTTGTTTTATTATTATTATTATTATTATTTATTCATTAACTTTACTTACTTGAATATTCGGCGAACGTGCGAGAGTTATGTCGCTGCTCGACGCGAAAAAGACAAAAGACAGAGATAGATTGTGCCGAATGCTCTCAGATTGTTCGATGTTTTAATATTTTTTCTATTTTTTCGATTAACATAAATATCATTCGCAACTTTAACATTATAATTTTACACAATTGTCATTAATATTATTTTTTTTTCTCCCTCATGTTTTCGTAAGAAAAACGTTAAGTCATGGCTATTTTAAAAACAAGAAAAAGTAAATACAAAACATATATACTTAAATATGAAATTACTGAGCGTTAAATAAAAGAACACATCGGAACGTATTCGGTCCGGTAAAAAGCAATTTGTGCGTGTTTCAACAATTATCAAGGCTTAAGAGTGGTTGAAAAAGAGTTAGACTAGCTTAACCGAGTTAAGTATCGATCGAGCTTTTCAACTGCACAGCACAAACCGTTATTGTCTCTACCGGTTCTCTAATTTCGTAAATACAATTAATATTATTATATTTGCGATATGATACGCGGACGAAAGAAATTTTTTTTATACACGGTACAAATAAAAGCTAAGAGACCACACAATTTTCATATTCTATGTGTACATCGGTATATAAATAAATAAACTGTCATAATTCTCGCGTCAATACGACTTATCATCTTCCTGGCTTCTCGTACGCTCAAATTTTCATTGTTCACTGTCTCAATCGCACGCTCATTCGTTCCTTTACCTTCCCATTTATTCGTCCTATTACTCACCCATTCGCTCGCACTCACATGCTCTCATTTGCCGTCCTCTCTCTCTCTCTCTCTCTCACTCACTCACTCACTCTCACCCTCTCACACAAACACAAACAAACAAACACACACACACACACACACACACACTCTCTCTCTCTCTGTCTGTCTCTCTTTGTACCTCAATTCATCTGCTCCTTTTTTTCACCTTTTAATATGAGGCAAACACGTGAACAATCAACGTTACTAATCAACACTGGCTGAAACTTCCAAACGATTAATTAATGGCTGCTGATAAAGGAAACGCGACAATTCTCCTTTATAATAATTGCCTCGCGATAAATTTTCACAAACTTTGTAAGTTGCAACAAAACATTAAAATACTTGAATTTCCATATTATTTTTAAGCAGCCATTATTCATTTCAGCAATTATCAATTAGATTAATACAATACAATGCTCTTATACCTCCTCAATTTCATGTTT